CTTTAAAAGGTCTTTGCACACAGTGGAGAGAAAATGTTCTCTTTGCTTTCTTGCCTGATACAAATCTCTACCAGTTAACTTTTTACTGACCCAGAATCTATGGTATGCAGTCAAAACTGCAATCTAATTGAATCTTACTTTGTAGTTCCTACTTCTAGTTACCAGTTCTTGTGACTCAACAGTGCTCTAAGGAACCTTATTATCTTTCTCTGCAGACAGAGGCATTTTCTTAAAAATTGCATGTCTTAGCCGGGCGGTAGTGGTGCACACCTTTAATCCCAGCACTTGGGAGGCAGAGGCAGGCGGATTTCTGAGTTCGAGGCCAGCCTGGTCTACAGAATGAGTTCCAGGACAGCCCGGGGTTTACAGAGAAACCCTGTCTCAAAAAACGAAAAAAAAAGAAAAAAAGAAAAAAAAAAAGAAAAAAAAGTGCATGTCTAGGCCTACAAAGAATGGATTTGGTAATTTAACTTGTAACCTTTTGCTTATAGACCTACATCCATGAACGTGTGTCTTATTCTTTGTTTTTCAGTAACCTTTGCAATAATATTCAACTTTATTTGGCATTAACATTCAACCAGTTGCTTGATGTTAGAAAATATTTGTCTCTCCTGATGTCTCGTATGCTCTGGTGAATGATTGACATGATCAGGAGTAGTAGAATAAAGCAAAAGGCAGAGAAAGGGTACTATCATTATTTGAGAGAGTCTCCAAGATGTAAAGACTTTGATTTTCAAGTTTTTACTCTCTAGTTCTCTGCTAAGATGATTTTTAGTATTATGGGATGCTTCTCTTCAGACTTTTTCAAGCTAGAGAGATGGCTCAGTGGGTAAAAGTACTTGCTGCCAAGTTGACAGTCTGAGTTTAATCTCTGGAACCTATATGATGGAAAGAAAGAACTGCCTCATGAAAGTTGTTCTCTTACCTCTATGTGCATGCATGCATGTGTGGGCACACAAGATAAATATCTAATTTTGAAAGATTTTATCACTTTGTTTTGTTGTTACTGTGTTGGTTATTAGACTCTGGGACCTCTACATGCTTGGCAAGTGTTCTACCACTGTGCTAAATCCCCAACTATTGTCCTTTTTTATTTGCTTGTTGTCCTCAAGGGGAGCCTCCCACCCTCCACCTCTTCAAACTCACAGCTGTGTGCTATGTATGTGTGCCTATGCGTGTGTTCAGAAAAGGGCCATTGCAAACCATACCAAAAATGTAGGACAACTTGCAGGAGTTGGTTCTCTTTTTCCAGCACATGGGTACTATGGATTAAATTCCTGTCATCAAGTTTGTTGGCTCATGCCTCTTCCTACTGAGCCATCTCTCCAGTACAAAGGAAGGTCTCTTATATGCTATAACTCACTCTGTAGCTAAAGACAACCCTATATTTCTGATCCTTTTTCCTCCACTTGCATGCTGAGAACACAGGAGTGTCTTGCCACTCTAGATTTATATGTGCTGGGAATAGAACCCCTGGTCTTACACATACTGGGCTAGCACTTAACCACCTGAGCTCCATCTCCAACATGTTAAGTTTTTGTTTTTGTTTTGAGAAAAATCTCACTTTGTAGGCTAGGCTAACCTTAAATGCACAGTCCTCTTGCCTCTATCTCCTGCATGTTGTACAAGGCATATACTGAAAGCCATACTTGGCTTTGATATTCTTTTCCTTACTCTTTTGTGTGGTGTATTGCTGGGAGTTGAACCCAGAGTCCCACACATAGCAGGCAAGTTCTCTACCAGTATCAGTTGTTCTTCTAAGAAAACATTTTTCTCTTTGAGACAGGCCTCATTATAGCCCAGGATGGCTTTCAACTTCTTAGATAGCCAAAGATGACCTTGAATTTGTGATTGTTCCTCTTCCATTTCCCAAGAATTCGGATCACAGGCAAGTCCTACCACAACCAGCTTAAGTATGCCTTTTCTAAACATGAAAATTATCATTAGTGTTTCCACAGCACCAATCTTAGCTCTGGAAATACAGTAAGCAGAATTAAAGCTTTGGCTGTAGCTGTCTTAGTCTCTTGGATGAGCCATTATGTTGAGATATATTCAATGTTGTGAGTAGATAAAATCCAGCTGAGACCCAAGGAGAAATGTAAAAGAGGTCACATGAACAAGAGAAAGAGCAGAGCTTTAGTTAATATTTAACCCCATGGTTAGTTAATGATCAGTAAAGAAATCATGTATAGTCTGAATCTTAACCTGCCTAATCACGGGACCAATTGTACATGGTCAAATAATCAAGGTAAGACAAATAGAAAGGGTCAGTTAATCATCACTTTAGTGATGGGTCAGTTTGCTTAAGTCAGCAATCTGAAAATGTGTTTTCCTAATCTGTGTAGCTGAATAACTGATGTGGTACCTACACCTAAACTGTGTCATTGAAGCATCTGCATACGTTTCTTTCCTCAGCAGGATCGTCCCTAGCATCTTAGAAGCTGCTCCAGTGTCTACTTGTGCCTTGTTATCACAGCTCCTTTCTGTTGTGTACTTGTTTACCTCTGAATCCTGCACTGAAATACAGCTCTGTGAGGACAGAGATTTGTGTACTTGTTTACCTTTGAATCCTTCACTGAAATACAGCTCTGTGAGGACAGAGATATGGTTAGTTTAGTCTGTTGTTCTCTTTGAATAGTTTCTAATACTGAATAAACATCTAAAACATTGCCCTTAAATGAATGAATGGACTGTTACTCTAAATGTCCATTTTCAGTCTCTATAATGACTCAACAAGGGCATTTTTTCTGCTCTGTTCTAGTTCTTGATAAAGCTTCCTGTTTTTAATTCTTGACTCCACTCTAAACTTTCCAAGGGAATTGAAGAGCTTGTAAGAACCTGTTATTTTTCTTATCTTCCTATACCATAGACCCCATCTTTTCTCACAAGTGGGCACCTTTCAAATGCATGCAGTACTGTTCCTTCTCTAGTAAAGCCTTCCAGGATTTCTGTAGCAAAAGTTGTCTTGCTTCTTGTACCGTATATTGCTTTTACCACTGCAAAATACTTAACTCTAAAAATGATTTATTTGTTCACATATCTGATTTTCTCACTTTTTAAAGGCAGATGCATCTTTGTAGCACTTAATGTCTAACTAGATGTCTGATCTAAATTATGTTCATAAGAAATGCTTTATAGAGCCAAGTGTGGTGGCAAAAATCATTTAATCCCAACACTGGGAAGCAGCCGTAGGGGGACTTCTGTGAGTTTGAGGTTAGCCTGGTCTACATAGCAAATTCCAAGACAGCTAGGACTACATAGAGAGATCGTGTCTCAAAAAACAAACAAAGAAAACAAAGCAAAAATAGAAGTGCTTGTAAATGACTGAAATGTAAGGACAGTTAAGAGGAAGGTTATTTAAGATACGTTCAGAGATGTAGGTACTTGTAGATCCTGGAAAGAAATTTAATTTTAACTTGCACTACTGGAATGTTTTTTAACAAGGAAATGATGTTATATGATAGACAGTTTTAAAAGAGAATGTGGCTGTTGAGTGATTAGGCCATAACTAGGTAAAGAGTACAGGCAGGGAGACCAGTTAGGAGGGAAAAATCTAAGCAGAGTGCTTGCACAGAATCAGTGGTGGCAGCAGAAAGGGAAAAAGGCATGAAGGTTATAGCTCAGTGGCAGAGGTGTTTCCCAGGAGGTAGAAAGGCCTGGGTTGATTCTCAAGACACACACACACACACACACACACACACACACACACACACACACACAGGAGAGAAGGTCGTTTTGTATTCTGAAAGCTCAAGGGAAATTTTATTAATGTTAAGAAAAAAAAAAACACAGTACAGGTTAGGTGAAAATACCAGCAGCTGTCAGGAGAAGAAGAGAAAAAGTAATGCCTTTTGAATTAGACATTAGAAATAGACAGCCTGCCGGGCAGTGGTGGCGCACGCCTTTAATCCCAGCACTTGGGAGGCAGGTGGATTTCTGAGTTTGAGGCCAGCCTGGTCTACAGAGTGAGTTCCAGGGCAGCCAGGGCTACACAGAGAAACCCTGTCTTGAAAAACCAAAAAAAAAGAAAAAAAAAAAAAAGAAAAAAAAAAGAAATAGCCTATTTTTAAAGGGGGAGGCGCTAGAGAGATGGTTCAGTGATTAAGAACACTTGTTTTTGCAAGATCTATGTTCAGTTCCCAAAACCCACATGGTGGTTGACTGCCATCCATAACTCTAGTTCCAGGGATCAGTCCCACTTTTCTGACCTCCATAGGCATAAACATAGTCCACATACATTCAGGGAAAATACTTATACACAAACAATAAATAAACAAGCAAGCAAGCAAACAAATGAGAAGGACTGCAGAGATGACGTGTGGTTTAGAGCTGTTCTTCTAGCGGTCTTGAGTTCAATTCCCAGCACCTCCCTAGTGGCTCACAACTGTCTATAATGGGATC